TTTTTTTTTTTTTTTTTTTAATAAATATTTTAATTAATTAAATTTGAATTAAAAAATTATTAATTACACCTAGTAAATAACGTTTGACAAAGGTGGTGCAAATAATAATATGAACACTCATTTGACTATTTACACCACTTATGTAATTACTGAAAATTTTCACCTTTTTACAATTCCAAGATACTTTATACCCACTTTTGACTAAACGGGAATGCAAATAGCAACACTCATTAGTTATAAAGGTTGAGAAAAAAAATATATTAATGTGAGTGTCATTTAAAAGATCTTAATAAGAGCTTTTTAATGATATATTTTTTATGCCTTAATTTTATTTGTACATAAAGAAAAAGAGAAATAAATAAATTTAAGTTAAAAAAAGAAAAAAAAAAAAAAAAGGATGACTTGAGTCCATGATGTTATATGCACACAGTCCATGATATAACTATTCAATGCTTATTAGGTGGACCATGCATAGGGTACGTTATTTCTATGCATAAGAGTACATTATTTTATACGTAATGTTCATTATTATAATGTGTATAAAATAGTATGAAAACAACTCTAAAGTTCATTATTTATATGCATAAGATTCATTATTTGAGTATGTACAAACTGATTAAAATTCTAGACGTACTCATTTATGCTTTACATGAGGTTCATTATTTGTTGAATATCTTATTTCTTTGTAGAGCATAGCTAGACTTACTCGACACCCCTTCCTATCCTTACTTAAAAATATGATATTTAATAAATTTGGATTCATTATTTATATGCATAAAGTTCAGTATTTCTGTAAATGTATTTTCATGTATTATCCACACACCATGCATCAGACCACGGTACAAAGTAAAATTTGCCATAACTATTATTTAAAAAATCTTTGTTCTATTTCGCCCATAGCCTTTTGTTTGTTTGTTTTTTTAAAGATTGAGTTTTTGTTTTTGTTTGTTTTCTAAAAGTTCTTTAGTTCAGAATTGAAATAAATAAATAAATTATACAACTTTAAAATACTTTTCAAAGTTCATTTGAATCATTTCACTACTTAGCTTATAGTTATGTTGGTTAGATGAGATTATAAAATTTTATTAGTTATTATAAGACTAATTTTCATTTGTTGAAACATGAGAGCTCATTGGTTATGTATGTTAGAGAATGAAACTTTATTGTATTTTATATATATATATATATATATATATATATATATATATATATATATATATATATATATATATATATATATATATGTACACACACACACACACACACACACACACACACACACACACACACACACACACACACATATATATATATATATATATATATATATATATATATATATATATATATATATATATATATATATATATATATATATATATATATATATATGTACACACACACACACACACACACACACACACACACACACACACACACACACACACATATATATATATATATATATATATATATATATATATATATATATATATATATATGTATGTATAATTATAACTTTTTAAATTTATGATTTATTTATCTAATTAGCATTCAAAAAATATAATACTAAATTTTAGAAAAGGTTCAAACAGAAAAACAAAATTTTTTCAGAGCCGCAAATATAAGCAATTGAAAATATTTTTGAAATAATTAGTCATTTTTTAGAATTTATTTTCTAGAAAATATTTCTGAGTTTGTCAATTAGCATTGCATATGATTCTTGAATATAATTTTTTTTATTTAAAAACTCAATTTAAGAATGATACCAATCGATCTAATTTTAACCAATTCCAAAAAAAAAAAAAAAACTAAATGGATTTATTTAATTTGATTAATTGTTTTTTATTTTTATTTTATTGTTTTAGTTTAGTTTAGTTTCTCTTTTGTTTTACTATTTATTTATTTATTTTTGCCTAGTTAAGTTTGGATTGGATTAGTTTTGGTTTTCGAAATATTTCAAATTTCTTTATAAAATTTGTGCAAAATCATTTAAATGGTAGATTAAAAAAAAGAAAGAGAAAACACACTATATATATATATATATATATATATATATATATATATATATATATATATATATATATATATATTTTTTTTTTTTTTTTTTGCATTCTCCCAAAATAAAACACACATATGTGTTGCCAATAACTGTGTAGTGTAGTAAAATGAAGTGACTCTTTCAAAAAATGAGAGGTTATGAGTTTGAGTCCTAGTGGGGACAATATTAACTTTTGGTACTTTAATAGATTAAGAAAGTAGATATGATCACAGATCATATACTACATTATAACAACATCTGTTATAGTTGGTGCAAAGTTTCAAAGTGCTATTAAAGAAGATTTAATTAGAAGCTAGAAATAGCAAACTTGCATGTGTGATCCATCCAATTTCCATTTAGTCCCGGCCTTGACCACAACCAAAAGTCTAAAATACATAGCTGGAGGAATTAACGGTGAATGATTACATTTGTTGTCGGATCCTAATCAATTGTTTAATGTTATTTATCATATTTCATAAGGTGGCCTGGCCACCTTTGTTATCAACATCACAATGGAAAAAGTATGTGCTGATATTTTTGGGGAAAACTTTGTATGTTCCCCTCACATGTTGATAATTTTACCTAAGCCAATTTTTGTTGTAAATTAATTATAAGAAGTTATTCATTTGAATAATTATATGATTCTGATTCTAGGAATGCAGTAGATATATGGCTTGTTTGGTTATCAGCGGTTAGCGGTAGCGGATTGTGTTAGCGGTTATTAGATAGCGGATTGTGTTAGCGGGTTTGACCAGCGGATTGTATGAGCGGTTTGTAAAAAAAACGTTTGGTAAAATTAGCTGTTTAGATTAGCGGTTGAGGTGTAAAAAGACATTGCTACAATAACTAGAGCTGTCAAAACGGGCTAGCCCGGCCCATATGGGCTGGCCCGTCTCGGGTTCAACTGAAAACGGTACGGGCCGGGCCGACCCGTTTTTCCACGAGTTGAGATTTTCCCAACCCAACCCGTGTAGGACGGGCTAACGGGCTAAACGGGCCAGCCCGTTTATTTTATTTTATTTATTTATTTTTTTTTAATTTACATGATTAAAATATTTAGTATTGTATTGCTTAGGAATTGAACCCATGACCTCTAAGTTAGTAACCAAGACTATTTGCAATCAACTACATTAACCATGATTAACAAATATGTATATTTATATATATACAAATATGTATATACACATATGACATATACACCTAAAATTAGATTTTAATTTTTAATATGTAATTATAATTTATTTAATTTATATTTAATACTAATATATTTTACATGTAATATTTTTTATTTGTAATTATAATATATACTATTAAGTTATAAAGTTTATAAAATATATAATTTATTACTTTATGTAGTTTATATAATAAATAAACTTTAAATTAATATTTATATTACGATACAATTAATTGTATTAATTAATATAGATATATAGATATATATTTAGTAATGCTTGTGAATGATGTAAATAGATATATAATTATATTAAATATTTAACATGTGTTCTTAGCGTAATTCGTTTTAATAGTAATAATTTGATAACTTAAGTAAAAGGTCAAAAGTTCAAGTCTTGTTAGCAACAATCTTTTTAAATATTAATAAAATACACAATTATACAATACATTTGAAAGTGGGGTGAGTGGGGATACGGGTTATACGGGCCGACCCGTGTAACCCACGGGCCAACCCGTATAACCCGTATCCCCCACGGGTTACACGAGACGGGTTGGAAATGGGACGGACTGGAAATCCTCCAACCCAGCCCGTGTAAAATACGGGTTAAACGGGCCCAACCCAACGAGTTGGGCCCGTTTTGACAGCTCTAACAATAACTACAATAATAATACGAAATTATAATTATAATTATAATAATATATTATTATTATTATTATTGTTATTGTTATAATTATTATTATTATAATTATAATTATTAGTTTTAGTTTTGTTGTTGAAAAAACAAAAAAAAAAAAAAAAAACACAATACAAAGGGGAGCCAAATTGGCTCCCATTTGTATTTCAGTGTTATCCCACATCGGTGGGATAACACTGAACGACCTTGAGGCTCCTCTATAAAAAGAGCCTCAAGGCCACTTAATTTATTCTTTTCATTCGATGTTGTCCCATATCGAATGCGAAGAAAAAATTACCCTCAAGTTTCCTTAATAATATTGAGGAGACTAAGGTAGAGCATAGTTAAGTTTTTTTATTATTATTATTTTTTTATTTTATTTTACTTTTTTTTTAAAGTTTTTTAAATTTTTTAATTTTTTAATTTTTTAATTAATGAAGGGCGTTTAGGGCAAATAAAGGTCTTTCTCCAAAATGCCAAACCCAAACGCTACTATTTGCAGCGGTTGGGTTTCATCAGTTCGGAGTAAAAATGTTGTTCTGAACTGCTGTCTAACCAAACAAAGTTTTTGGCGTTTTGATCAAGTCAAAACGTCAAAAGTCTTAACAGATCTGCCATTAACCGAACAAGACTATAATAGTATATATATATATATATATATATATATATATATATATATATATATATATATATATATATATATATATATATATTATAAAAAAAAAGTGATAAGAAATAGCGAGAGAAAAATCATCCTCATATTATTATATTCGTCTTTCAATCCAGTTATATATACATGATATATGAAGTTTGAATAACCTATAAATTTATATATGATGAAGAGATATTATCATAATAGAAGTCCTTCATCAATGTCCACATTTATTTATTTGTAAAATTTTCCATTGAACATTACTGTATCTTACTCATGCTTTTTAAAACCTCACTAGAAATATCTAATGGGAAAAATCTAGTTGAAAAAAATACGGAGTAGTACATAATGTATATGTATTCAATGTTGCACTAGTTGCCTCGTTAGAAAACCCTTAAAATAAATAAACTATATCAAAACTCAATCAAAGAGAAAAAAAAAAAAGTACACATGTTGGTCTTTAAGACCCAATCTTCAAGATTGATTCAAGAAAATGTAGCTCCAACTGGTTGTAAGCCTACACATTTTAACATAATAAACATGTCTTCCAAAAAGTTAGTGTAGAAAGGGATTTGATGAACAAATTTGCTAGATTGTTATTGGAGTAAACATTTTATATAATAATCTCGTGACTCTTCTGGAGTTCACATTGGCAGAATCATGATGTTATCTGTTTTGTCAACTAGTGACATGTAAGAGCTTTAGTAAATATATCTACAAGCTGATCTTTAGAAATAAAGTTAACTTGTATATCACCAACAGTGACTATGTCTCTAACAAAATGATAATCAATCTCCACATGTTTGGTGCAAGCATGAAATATGGGATTTTCACACATATACGTAGCACCAAGATTATCTCACCACAACTTAGGCACATGAATATTAGCAACACCAATCTCACGCAACAAAGAAAGAATCTAGATTACCTCAGCACATACATCTACTAGAGCTTTATATTCAGCCTCTGTAGAAGACCTAGTCATAGTCCTTTGTTTCTTACAAACCCAAGAAACCAGATTGGAACCAAGAAAAACAATATAACCACTAGTTGACTTGCGATCTTCAGGACAACCAACCCAATCAGAATTAGACAAAACATGAAGATCATTTGTCACAAACTTATGTATACATAGACCATAAGTAATAGTACCCTTGACATACCTCAGTACATGTTTCAGTTGAGCCCAATGTGACACCGTGGGTGTATGCATACGCTGGCAGAGCTGATTTACATCAAAAGACAGGTCCGGACGTGTGATAGTTAGGTACTGCAGTGGCCTAGCTAAACTCTTGTACTGAGTATGATCATCATAAAAATCTGTGCAAGGAGGTATATATTTCGAAATAGGGATAGAAGTGGCAAGAGGTTTGTAGTTTGACATACCAACACTTTTAAGAATATCAGTCATCTACCTCTGTTGAGAGAGCAACAAACCACCATCCTGGTTAACAGTTCCAATACCAAGAAAAAACCAGGTTCACCAAGATCTCTAATCTTAAAGGTTGCAGGCAATTTAGATAGTAACATATTTACTAGATTCTGATCACTGCCCATCACACCGATATCATCAACATAAACCAGCAGATAAACACAAGTAGAATCTTGCGAATAATAAAACAATGAGATATCTGTCTTTGATGCCTTAAAACCCACTTACTACAAAAAGGCATGCAAGCGATGAAACCAAGCTCTAAGAGCTTGTTTGAGACCATACAGAGAACTCTTTAGCAAGCAAACATGATTAGGGGACTGTTCATCAGTATATCCTGGGGGTTGACGCATATAAACAGTCTCAGCCAAGTTACCATTCAGAAAAGCATTGTGCACATCTAGCTGTTTAATGACCCAGCCAGAATATAAAGCTAAGGAAAGAAGTAACCTGACGGTTGTGAGTTTAACAATTGGACTGAATGTATCAAAGAAATCCTTACCAAGGACCTGTTGAACCCCTTCGCCACTAAACGAGCCTTGTGGCGCTCAATCGAACCTTTTGCCTTCTATTTGGTGCGAAAAAAACCCACTTATATCCAATTACATTCATACCAAGACGAAAAGGAACCAAGGACCACGTCTGATTCTGAATAAGGGCATTAAATTCTTGATCCATGGCCACACGCCACTTAGGATATTTGACAACCTGCGTACATCAAGTGGGCTCCGATGGGCAAACCAGGGTCGTCAGAACTGCAGGAGCAGCATGAGACATGCTCATAGTGAATCACATGTGTCATTGTTGTGGGTTTTGGAGCATGAGCTCATGATGATGGAGCCAAAGGAGCTAGGAGCGGGCTACACAGGAAAGGACGATGTAGGCATCACTGTGGGAGATGGAATAGAGTAAGACTGCAAGGTAGACACAACCCAAGGACGAGGCTGTAGAACAAAAGGTGTCTGCAAAACGGTCTTAGCATAAAAGGGAAAACCGCCTCATCGAATCGTATATGCTTGCAAATATAGTTCTTATTAGTGTGTAAGTCCATGCTCCTATACCCCTGAAAAGACTTTGGATTATCTAAGAAGACACAAGGTGAAGACCTATAACTCATTTTATGATGATTGTATGGTCTTAAGTGAGGATAACACAAACAACCGAAGACATGTAAAAAGGAATAAGAAGGTTGGGACTTGTGCAACATATAATGAGGATTGTAGTTACCCAGGACACTGGATGGAATTTTATTGATGAGATAAACCGCAGACTCAAAAGCAAAATTCCATAAACAAGACGGGACAGAGGCGTGAGCCATAAGAGTTAGCCAAGTCTCAACAATGTGTCTGTGTCGCCGTTCAACATGGTCATTCTGTTCATGAGTATAAATACAAGACTGTCTATGATTAATACCTAATTGCAGAAATACGGAATGCAATTTCTTATACTCAGCACCTAAATTAGACTATATGGATTTGATTTTACGAGAAAAGGAACGCTTAACCATAACACGAAAATGCTAAAAAATGCCATACAAATAAGACTTGAAGCGCATTGGAAAAAACCATGTATAATGAGAGTAGTCATCCACAAATATAACAAAGTAACGATGTCCACTAGAAGATAAAATCAGGGCTAGACCCCAAATATCAGTATAAACTAACTCAAGAACATCAGAACTAGAAGACATAACACGTGGTAAAGGAAAATGCGCAGATTTTCCCAATTGACACGCATAACATAAAGTAGAATCACAAATAGAACGAATAGACCCACTAACCAAACAAGACTGTAGAACACGATGAATTGAAGGACACACTGATGTGGATGACCAAGACGATTGTGCCAGATTGACGCATAAGCACAAGCATAAAGGAAAGCTGTGGGAGACGAGTGAGAGATAGGTAACGTGTACAGCCCACCTGAATTATTGCCCCAAAGTAGTACCGTCTTGATGACGATATCCTTCACAACAAAAAAGGAGGGGTGAAACTAAAAAAATACTTGGTTATCTAAAGCAAAACGCTGAACAGAAAGTAAAAAATTTGATAAACCAGGAACGTGCAAAATATTAGACAACTTAAACGACCTAGATGGGGGTATTAAAGGAAGCATGACCAACATGACTAATATACATGCCCATACCATCACCGACATGAAGCGTGTCATTACCCGTTGACTCCTGTAGAAAGGGCAGCTATGTCTAGGGTAACATGATTCGTAGCCCTAGTGTCTGGAAACCACGTATGAGAACCAAGGGATACATTTCAGAGAACATCCTAAAACGCCAAATGTGCCTGAGGTGAAGGGCTCCAGTATAACGGCTGTAATAATTAATGGTCGTATAACATACTCTATTGTAGATTTGGCAGCGAGGAGCAGAACCACCATGACCACCAAGTTGCTGCCCTCGTCCACGTTGCTGCTATCGGCCACTTTGCCAGCCACCACCACCAGTGCGACCACCGCCTCGATTAAATCCATCGCCGCCACGATTGTTGCTAGAACAACGCTGGCCACCTCCCCGCTGCACTGTTTGGACGCCGACAGTGTGATAGTCGTCGTGGGCGATGAACTCTTGCGCTCCCAATAAGGCGGCTACCTCTTGCAAAGTCACCGACTGGTCGCTGATTGACAAGGAGGCAGTCAAGGAGAGAAATTTCGGCCATATTCCATTGAACACATAAAGGTTCTGTTCGTCGAGGGACACTGGCCGGCTGGCGAGGGAGAGATCTTCTATGATAACCTAAGCCCGTCCGATGTAGTCTACCACCGAGGAGTCGCCTTGTCGCAAAACCTGGAGCTTCTTGAGAAGGTTTAACGTACGAGCTCGAGAGGAAGAAACCAACGCATGTTCCACCGACTCCCAGACTTCTCTCGATGACCGGCGACCAACGACGAGGTGCATCACCTCTTCAGACAGGGTCGAGATAAGCATCGACATCAATGCTTGGTCTTGCTGCGTCCAAACGGCGTACGCTGGATTTGGAAGAGTGGTCAGAGAAGAGGAATCGTCAGCGGGATTAGGGTTTGCAATGACGGACAGTGGGGGAGTTAGGGTTCCATCAACAAAACCCATGAGATTTTGACCACGCAAGAATGGTACCAACTGAGTTCTCGATAATAAAAAATTTCGAGTGGTTAATTTTAGGCTAAAAAAGTGGTGAGCAGTGGATAGAGAATACATGGCTACAAGCAAAGAAGATGCGGTAGCAATATCTGAGCGGTCCATTTAGAGAAACCAACATATCCATCATGAGCAGAAGAATGATCAGCCATGGTAGAAACCCTAGCTAATTGGTACCAGATGAGAACTGAATCTTCTGGATTGATCACAGAGTCACATAATACAATAGAATAAATACAATTCAAGAGTTACAACAAGACTAGGATATACAGACCTAATCTGACTAGAATACATAGAGTCCTAATACGGAGGATATGTTAAACACTATTCTAATGTTTCATTGTAGGAGAGGTAGTAAATGTTGCTATCAAGTTTTTGCAAATACAATATCAAGGACAATGCGATTGTGGAATTTCTTGTTCTAAAGTAATGCTCAAATGGCAATGAAGTAATTAACTTATGGTCCTAAAACATCCCATTATTCTCTTTGGGTCTAAATCGGTCCTTATCTACTTCTAAAGATTAGACAACCATTACCATGCTAAGTAAAATATAATTATCATTGTAAAACATTTCTAAGACATTTTTCGACTATAAAATTTTTAGCATAAATTTCTCCCATATTCATAAAAATTCATAGCAAATTTCTAAATCAACCAAATTCTTGTCATTTTAACAAGATATTTAGATTTCCCCATTCTACATCCAAAGTATTATGATTATTTGGTGCACCTATAAATTCAATGGGATCTTTTGCCTTACTAGATTTAGTTTTTCACAAATTCTTATCTTTTGCAGCGATAACTCTTCCACAATTCTAACGTCAATGAACATTGGTATATATACTCAATTCAAGTTGGGCAAGGTATATGAGACTTAGTCACTATTTTATGATTTAAATATGTCTGGAAGATTATTTGCTAAATGTTGCAAATTAATTATCTTTTGAACTTCCATTTCAATCTAACTAGAACATGGATTTAAAATTGAAAATCATTATTCTATGAATTTTCTCGGCATTCTATTAAGTTTGAGCTCTTATCTCCCTAGTGCCATGAAATGATCTTCATATGTATTTAGTCAGCATACTAAAGTATAAAAATGATACCTATTATGAGCTCTAGGTATTTAAACAATAGATAGAGGTTTATAACTTATATATATATGTGTGTGTGTGTGTGTGTCACGGCTGGAATGGAATAGGTCGGGAATGGAATACCGTTCTCGGGAATAAACCTATTCCATTGTTTGTTTTGTCATTTTATTCAAGGTAATAGCGTTCCCGGGAATGAGCTATTCCCTTTGCAGGGAGAATAGCCATTCCTAGGGGACCCCCCCCCCTGGTATTAGCTATTCCCAAGTATTTGGGAATATCTTTAGTACTATAATATCGAAAATACCCTACCACCGCCACCACTGCCGCCGTCTCCACCACCGCCACCACCACCACCACCATCACCACTGCCACCACAACCACCACCGCCACCACCACCTCCACTGCCACCACCGCCACCACAACCACTGCCGCCACTGCCACCAACGTCATCGCAACCACCACCACCGTCACCACCACCGCCGCCGCCACCACCACCACCACCAACACCACCACATATTTTTGTAAGGGTATTTATGTCTTTTGAAACATATTTCATTCTATTTATTAAATCAACCAAACACTGTAATATAATTCCTAAAGTCTATTCCTTCCGCGAACCAAACAATAGAATAGAATTCATATTCTATTCCTTGCCTATTCCATTCCATATTGAATATCATTCCTATTACCTCAAAATTCATTCTGTGAACCAAACGTGCTGTAAAAGTTATTCTTGAGAACTCAAACAATAGAATAGAATTCATATTGTATTCCTTGCCTATTCCATTCATATTGAATATCATTCCTATTACCTCAAAATTCATTCTGTGAACCAAACGTGCTGTAAAAGTTATTCTTGAGAACTCTGGAATAGGCTAATCGCAGGGGATCATTGGAATAGATATTCCCATTTTTCGATATAAAATGACTTATCAAATAAATGAGTAAGCGGTGTTACTCCATTCCCTACATATTCTTTGAACCAAAAGTGTTGTAAAGGAATTTAATCCATTTAATTTATAGGGTTGCCAAGGACTTTGTGGTCCAATGACACTAAGTTACTCTTTTATATGAGGGGTTGTGGGTTTAAGCCCCAGTGGAGGCGATATTGACTCGTTGTGCGAAAAGCCATTTATAGAGTTTTTTACAACTATTGATTTAGTTAGGTATTGATGAATTGAATTGGTTAACACAGAAAGGGTTCATCGAATAAAGTCAAATCAAGTAAATAGTATATTGATTGAGTATTAAAAACATATTGCAATGCCATTAATTCATTCATTGATTATTTATAAACAAATGGGTTTATATTGAACAATACAAAGTATAAGATCTGGTATAAATTAGCAAGTTAATCAAATTGTGGAGTGATTGATATATGGATTATGGAAGGATGTTAATGTAAAATGGAAAGAAAAAGCAAGAAAATATGGTGGTTAAAGCAGAAACAATGATTGCTTTCCATGGGCAGTTAATCTCTCACCCTCCTTACACTCCATTGATGACTCTTCCTGCCTCCTATTTCCCTCCTTTATTCACGCCGCATTTGCTCCCATCACACTTCCACATTTCTCTCTTCTTTCCCCATCTTGACCAAAGATAATCAGATTCTTCTCCCCATTTTTCAATTCCATTGCTGCAGAAATGTCGGAGCTGTGCCTGCCATGGAAGACTTGGTTTTCCAGTCTTCTCATCTCTGACTTGAAGCGATTCTGTTCTTTCCTCTTCTCTCACCCTCTATACTTGTCATACTTTGTCTTCTTCTCCCCTTATCTCTTCAAAATCGTCTCCTTTCTCTTCCCTCTTGTCTTCACCACTTCCCTCTTGCTCCTTGCCTTTCTTACAGTCTCTCCGGGCTTGATTGCCCACGGCAAGGTTGGTGATCTGCTCTCTGCTTGTCATGCTGTGGTTGAGGATGGAACCCAGGAGTGTTTTGATTTGGAGGATTTTGAAGCTTACAAGATTGTGTTTGAGGGTCCTTTAATGGATGTTCAAGAAAGCCAAGCCCAATTCTCGGAACAGAGTTTAGTGGAAGATTCAATGGAGGAGGAGGAGAAGAAACTGGAAGATCTTGTCCCAAAGGTTGAATCCTCGACTCTAAGAGCTCCTTACAGTTCGGTCCAACGGAGTATAAGTTACTATAATTCAATGACTCAACAGGCAGTGTTAAATGTTGGTGCGTCCTATACTTCAGCCAGAAAGAGTATTTCTGAAAATTCAGTGGCTCAACAAACAGGGTTAAATGTCGGTACACCATACACTCTGACCCAAAAGACCATTTGGAAGGATATAAATCAGGATAATTCAGTGACCCAACAGGCAGAATTGAATGCTGGTGCACACAAAGAATTGGTGGGGGAGTTGGAAAGCATGGGTAGTGTGAAAGACCAGAAGAAAGTGGAGGCACAAGGCACGAATGCCGATAAAGTGGTTGAAAACTTAAAGGTAAGAAATGGATCCAAGGACGAGGAGACAATCGTCAACAAAACAAAAACAAAAACAAAAACATCAATCCCAAGAAACGATTCTCAGAGTCTGAAAGTGGAGAGTTCAAGAACACTGGATTACAATCTTGCTCACAATGGCTCCATGAGAAAGGAAAAAGAGTGGAAAAGGACACTGGCGTGCAAGCTGTACGAGGAGAGGAACACTAGAGATGTGAGTGGTGAAGGGATGGATTTGTTGTGGGAAACATACGAAATGGAGGCCATAAAGAGCAAGAAGATGGAGTCGAAGAAGAAGGCGAAGAAAAAATGGGAAAGCAAGAGATATAATAATAAGAAGGTGGAGAGTGAGGATGAAGAAGAAGAAGAAGAAGAGGAAGTGTATGATCAGCTGTGTTGTTTGCAGGCCCTCAAGTTCTCAGCTGGGAAAGTGAACTTGGGAATGGGAATTGGAAAGCCTAATCTTATGAAGATTTCAAAGGCTATCAAAGGTTTTGGATGGCTTCATCATGTTAGCAGCAAGCACAGCAAGAAGGTGCACATTGAAGACAGGTTATAATAATAATAATCAAATTTAATTTTGGTTCCTTAGCTTCCATCTTCATCATGCATGTATTTGCTTCCAACTAAATCTCAACAAGTATATATATATATATATTTATATTTATAATAATCTGCTCTTTTTTCACATAATGTAGTCTTAATTATCATTTTCTTCATCTAAGAATGTCTTATATTAGGTTGGTAATTGTTGGTTTATTTGCTTAGCCTAACCGTGATGTGAAATTGTGAGGTAATTCCGTAATTATATTTGTAATCTTTATCTTTTATCTTCTTTATATATATATAATAAAGCAGAATCCTAAATTTCCCTACAAAACTAGCTGTCCGTCCAAAATTGTGAATGGACTTTGAGAAAATGAGTTGCAGTAATGGAATAGGTTTGGCCCAGAAATTTAAAAAATGTAATTATATATTGGCCCAACATATGTTATATTAAGACTTTTATCTTTTATTAAGTTAGTGTGTATATATATATATATGTGTGTGTGTGTGTGTGCGCGCGTGCGTGCTAACTTTTTAATAGTTTGTAATTTTGATTAGTTTTTTAATAATTTACAAAGAAAGTTAGGTAAAGTAAAATCAAGTAGGGAAAAAAAAATTCCGTCTAAGTGTGAATGCATATTAATAGATTTGTAAGAACATTAATTTTTTTGTGTGTAAATCACAAGGTGGTCCGGGTCTTTCTTTGTCCGTTTAACTTTGTAAGATCATTATACTTGTGACAAGGTAGAATTGTTCACTGTACTGCTGGTGCCTCTATACTCCGGCCCAACAGTTATACCGTTAGCTTGTGTGATTGTGAGGTAATTATACTGTTAGCCTGTTAGGCAATATTATTTTATGATTTAATTTCATTTTTTGTCCTAGATTTATTGTTGACAGTTCATTTTTAGTCCTTTTTTTAATCAAAATATCATTTTTAATTTGGTCCTTGTATTATTGTGGTATGATCATTTTTTGTCATCCATCAACAAAATCGTTTAAATGTCATTAAATAGGACATTTCAAATTTTTTTTTAATACAAAGTGCATTGACCCGTTATATTTTTTATGTTTATCTTTTTGAAAAAATTCATAATTGAAGCCGGAAATGCTCTTGTATTTGAGAGCATTTAAACTGTTTTGTTGATAGATGACCAAAGAAGGTCATGCTACAATAATACTAGTACCAAATGAAGATGTTTTGAAAAAGTACTAAAAGTGAATTGACACCTATAAATTTAGGACAAAAAAGTGAAATTGATTCTTATTTTTTCCTTGCAAGAGAAATAAAACAAACCATTACATATAGGCGAAAATTTGTGTGAGACCGTCTTTTGGGTCTCAATTCGTGAGACCAGTCAAATCTCGAATCTTTAATTAATGAGGTCAAAAATCAGATCCGATCCATTAATCAAAGATTCGATCTATATTACGAGTTGAGACCCGTGAGAGTGTTACCCTTACCTATAATCTAGACCATTTTCTGCCAATCATACCCAAGAACATTAACGCTTGCTTTAATTAATGCCATCCACCCGCATGGGCAGCTCAACTGTTCACAGATGTGAAACTTTGGAAGAATGACCAGGGATCGAGTCTCACCAGCGGCAGTGTGGGAGCAACCTCTCAAAGTGAGAGGGGTTCCTTGTGCGCAGTGAGCACATGTCTAGCCTCTATGGTTCATATTCACTTCCTTTTGGAAGAAGAGTCAATAGTCAATATTACTAAAACACACAACCTCCCACATAAGGGAGTAACTTGGCATCATCACTTGACCACAAGGTCATTGGCAATCACAATAAATTTTAAAAAGGAAAAATTTCACTTTTGGTCATTCAGTTATACCCGTGGTACAAGCTTAATCCTTAAGTTATATGTGTGATCATTTTAACTCCTAAGTTATGCACGAAGTGATATTTTAGTCTCTCGGAGATTATTTCTACCACCAATTAAAAATAATAGTTTAGTAGCTAAAACAAAAAATAATACATATGCATTCCTTTAATTTAGAATTATGTGTCTACAGTGCCTTTATTCAAAAAAAAAATTATTCATTATCAATAAATTAAATAAGAGAAATAATTTCATTAGTTATATTGTCTTTATTTTTCTCCAATATAAAAATTCTTTACATTCAAAATTCAAATTCATCAATTGATTATATTCGCTACATTGTCCCAACAATGTCTTTATTAAAAAAAAAATATCCATTATCAATAAATTAATTAAGAGAAAAAATTTCATTAGTTATATTGTCTTTATTTTCTCCAATGTAAAAAATTTTTACATTCAAATTCATCAATTGATTATATTCACTACATTGTCTATTATCTTTTTTTGTGCACTATTTTTTAATTAAATATCAAAGTTATAATAAAAAATAATGCTATATATTTATTTACCAAGTATTTTACTAATACCATGAAAAAATTTAAAATTTTTAAATTAATAAAGCCAATTATATTAACTACTTGAGCGATTTGTTGACACAAAGAGTATGAGTATTCAAATCACACAACTAATTGAAGTGAGAAACTATATCGCAATAATAGATTTTATATAAATATGTATACTGCCAAATGAACAAAAAGTGCAATTAAAAGTATTCTTTAGAGTTGCTATAATAAAACTAATTTGTTTGAAAAATAAAACTAATAAACACAACTCATACAATAAGAAAATTATTACGATTAAATTTTATTTTTTTAAATTGACATAGTTTTACTTTATAGTTTGCAACAGTAAAATTTGCCCTCAACCCTAGAGTTGGAACACCATAGATTCCATAGAATTGGCATACTTGGATGTTCACAGCTTTTCAATGTTTGGTATCACTGTTTTATAGATGGATCGTGCAACTATGGTGATCACACCACCCTATGCCAATCGTTCGTTATGGCATGGAACCGTTCACCATTCATGGTGAACACGGTTCCAACGGTGTTAGTACACCGTTTTTTTTTTTTTTTAAATTAATTACGTGACTTTTCTTTTTCATTTTCACATTTCGCGGTTTCACTTTAATTTGAGGTGAGCAATGATTTCGAACATTCATAAATTATGAATTCATGCCTGCACATTCACTTTGGAATCATGCCTACACATTCCCGTCCGAAATCACGGACATTCATAAATTATGAATCCATGCCTGCACATTCACTTTGGAACTATGCCTACACATTCACTTTGGAACCATGAGATTATGAATTTTCTGTTATAAGATTATGAATTTTCAGTTATGAAATTATGAATTTTCAGTTATGAGATTATGAATTTTCTGTTATGAGATTATGAATTTTCTGTTATGAAATTATGAATTTTATGTTATGAGATTATGAATCTACATTATATTCATAATCTCATAACAGAAAATTCATAATCTCATAACTGAAAATTCTTAATTTAATAAATATTTTACTTTTATGCGATTATGAATTTTCTGTTATGAGATTATGAATTTTCATTACATTCATAATCTCATAACAGAAAATTCATCATTTGATCAAACGCGCGCCGTTAACTCCACATTCACGATTTTTTATTATTATTTTTTTTATGCATAAAAACGACGTCGTTTAGACTTGTGTTCACCATTCACGGTGAACACGTTTCCGGGGCATAATTTGCGACCCTATGCAGTCTCGTTTAATTTAAGACGGTCCATTCATGTACCGATGCTATGACACAAATATTCAAAGCCCAATAATAATAATAATAATAATAATAATAATAATAATAATAATAATAATCTTTTATATAATAAAGCTATATGGTTTTGGAAATAATTAATGTTACAATTATTGCCACAACATCCTTTATTAAAAAAAAAAGCACAACATTTAAAAAATAAAATAGCTATATATTATATAATCATATAAAAAATGTGTTCAGTTAGAGTTTAAATTTACACATACAAAATTTAAAATTTGCTTTCCAAATGTAATTATCTTAGTTATTATTCGTATTGTGAAAATTATATTATAAATGAAATACAATTAAGAATAAATCAATGTAATTATGTAAATTCTCTATATACGTTTATTTGAATATGCACATAATTAGAGATTATATTAACCATACAAAATTATAATTATAATTATAATTTTAATTTTAATTGTAATTTTGTATTCTATAAAAATAATAAATACTTGACCAATGGAAGCTTAAAAATATTATTATATTAAATAATTTAAAATAATTTATTTTTTCTATTTTTTATTTATATTTATAATAACATAATTTTTTTCCGTGCATCGCGCGGGTGAATTACTAGTAATAATAATAGTAGTAGTAGTAGGGAGTATGGAATTAAATCCAATTTTAATTGTATAATTAAACAATCGTTATATCGTGCACCACGGCGCACATAGCAATGTGCGCCCTGCGCCTCCCAAAACGACGTCGTTTTGTTAAGTTGTGTAGAAGTTGACGCGACAGAGTGTATGTGTATTCTGTTATATAATTATGTACATTATGTTATACAATTATATACATTATATTATACAATTATGTACATTTTGTTATATAATTATGTATATTCTTTTATACAATTATGTACATTATTTTATACAATTATGTACATCCGAAACATGAAATTTTTTTTACGTGTTAAAAGTTATGTGTATTATGTTAAGAGTTTATGCGTATATATTATGTAAGAGTTTTGTATTATGTTAGATTATGTGTATTATCTTTTCAAAAAAGAGTATGTGTATTTTGTTATATAATTATGTACATTCTGTTATACAATTATGTACATTCTATTTTACAATTATGTAAATTTTTAAAACATGAGATTTTTTAAAAAAAGTTAACAACCGACACAAAAAGTAGAATTTTCAAAAAAATAAAAATAAAAAACGACGTCGTTTTGCACCAGGGCACCGTTGGTGCACGATACAAATTGCCATAATTAAAGTGATGAGACCCAGCCCAACAACAAGTTGAAGCCCAACATGCAATGGAGGCCTATTAAAAATCTTGGCATGCCCAATTACCCGTACCCTAACCGAA